AAAAAAAAAAAAAAAAAAAAATTATATATACGGAAACAACTGAATGTCTGTTGATGGATGACCGATAAAGCAAATGTGTTTATTACACAATGGAATATTACTCTGTCTTAAAAAAAAAATAAGGAAATCCAGGGCCAGGCACAGTGGCTCACACCTGTGATTCCAGCACTTTGGGAAACCAAGGTGGGCGGATCATGAGGTCAGGAGATCAAGACAATCCTTAACAATGTGGTGAAACCCTGTCTCTACTAAAAATACAAAACAGCCAGATGTGGCAGAGTGCACCTGTAGTCCTCGTTACTCGGGAGGCAGAGGCAGGAGAATTGCTTGAACCCAGGAGGCAGAGGCTGCTGTGAACAAAGATTGCGCCATTACACTCCAGCCTGGGTGATAGAACGAGACTCCACCTCAAAAAGAAAAAAAAAAAAGGAAATCCTGACACACACGACAATATGGATGAACCTGGAGGACATTAGGCTAAGTGAAATAAACAAGACACAGAAATACAAATGCTGCATGATTTCACTTACATGGGGAATCTAAAACAGTCAAACTCAAAGAAGAAAGTAGCATGGTGATTTCCCTGTGTGTTAAATACTAACCTTCCCATATGGGTAACGCCACAAGGCACAACTGTCTGCCTGGATGCACAGGGATCATTTCCTTACTCACGCAGCCACACCCATCCTGTTACCATGAACTGCAGGTTTCCTTCCATGGGTGCTGGCCCAGTGCAAGTCCCTGCTATCTCTCTGTACAGTACCACGGGCTGCTCTATACCACTCTACACTACCACAAGCTGCTGCTCCTTTTTTTTAGAGAGACGGAGTCTCACCATGTTACCCAGGCTGGTCTCAAACGCCTGGGCTTAATTGATCCTCCCGCCTTGGCCTGCCAGAGTACTGGGAATACAGGTGTGAGCCACCACACCTGGCACAAAAAAAATATTTTTTAACAAAAATGAGATGTTTTATTGTCTTCTCTTTGCACATAGAGTGAAAGCCCGAATCCTTGTTGTGGGCCCTAAATCATATGGCTTTTGACTCCTTTTCCAATATCTACTGTCTTTCTACTGCACTCTGCTTCTCAGCACGAAAACAGCCAAATGTGTTGCCGTCTTCCATAAAAATCTTTCCTCCTGTGGGGTGCGGTGGCTCACACCTGTAATCCCGGCACTTTGGGAGGCTGAGGCAGGTGGATGACTTGAGGCCACGGGTTCGAGACTAGCCTGGCCAACATGGTGAAACCCCATCTCTACTAAAACTACAAAAATTAGCCAGGTGTGGTGGTGCACACCTGTAATCCCAGCTACTGGGAAGGCTGAGGCAGGAGAATCTCTTGAACCCAGGAGGCAAAAGTTTCAGTGAGCCGAGATGGTGCCACCGCATTCCAGCCTAGGCACAGAGGGAGATGCTGTCTCAAATAAATAAATAAATCCCTCCTCGGCCACCTGTGGTGGCCTACGCCTATAATCCCAGTACTTTGGGAGACCAAGACCAAGTGGACAGATCACCTGCGTTCAAGACCAGCCTGACCAACATGGTGAAACCCCATCTCTACTAAACATACAAAATTTAGCCAGGCGTGGTGGCACATGCCTGTAATCCCAGCTACTTGGGAGGCTGAGGCAGAAGAATTGCTTGAACCTGGGAGGCAGAGGTTGCAGTGAGCTGAGATCGTGCCATTGCACTCCAGCCTGGGCAACAAAAGCGAAACTCCGTCTCAAAATAAAAAAAATAAAATCCTTCCTCATAAATGATTACCCATCTGGGAAAATGGGTAGATTCCTTCTAACTTTTGCCAGATTTCCAAACAAACCAAAAGTAATTAAAAATGGAAAAAAAAAAAAAATATATATATATATATATATGAATACATAATTAAAATGACAAAAAATGAAGAAAAACCTCAAGGAATATTTTTATAATCTTGGATTGAAGAAAACCCTTTTTAAAAGTAGGACATATGGCTAGGCACAGTGGCTCACACCTGTAGTCCCAGCACTTAGGGAGGCCCAGGTGGACGGATCACCTGAGATCAGGAGTTCCAGACCAACCTGGCCAACATAGTGAAACCCCATCCGTACTAAAAATAAAAATAAAAATAATTATTCAGGGTGATGGCACACGCCTGTAATCCCAGCTACTCAGGAGGCTGAGGCAGGACAATCACTTGAACCCAGGAGGCAGAGGTTGTAGTGAGTCAAGATGGCGCCACTGCACTCCAGCCTGGTGACACAGCAAGAAAAGAAAAAAAAGAAAAAAAAAAAGTAGGTCATAAAACTCAAAAGTCAATCAGGCAAGGTGACTCATGCCTATAATCCCAGCACTTTGGGAGGCTGAGGTGGGACAACTGCTAGAGACCAGCTTGGGCAACATAGTGAGATCCTGTCTCTAAAAAAAAAAAAAAAAAAAAAATATGAAAATTAGTTGGGCATGATGGCACGCCCCTGTGGTCCCAACTACTTGGGAGGCTGAGTCCAGAGGGTTACTTGAGCCTGGGAGGAGGAGGTTGCAGTCAGCTGAGATTGCACCACTGAACTCCAGCCTCCTGGGTGACACAGCAAGACTGTCTCAAAATATATATATACCTCTTTTTTGGGGGGTATATATATACCAACACTCAAAAGCCAACAATGATATTAAAAAATTAAAAACTCTGCCTCAATAAAACATATCTCCAGGCCACATTCAGACACCATGGGCTGCCACCCCTGCTGGAGCCTCCACCTGCAGCATCTCAATACATTTTGCTGGTTTTAAGACAGCCATAAGGTGGTCACTGAAACATGCTACAGGACAATTCGAGAAAAGCTGGAATTGGGAGCAGTTTTGCTCATTCCAATATTGGGAGGTGGCAAGAGACCACAGCAGTCTAGACCCAGTGAATTTTAGAAACTGAGCCATCAGGGGAAAAAAGATATAGATATCATGTAGCTATCTTGTAGTTCTAAATTTGGATTGGAAGCAGTATGAACTGATAACGTATTTTATCATATATGTTATATGTGTGTATGCATGTAGGTATGTGTTTGCATACATACAAAGACACCCCCGACATGGGCTGGGCGAGGTGGCTCACGCCTGTGATCCCCGAACTTTGGGAGACCCAGGTGGGTGGCTCACCTGAGGTCAGGAGTTCAAGACCAGCCTGACCAACATGGATAAACCCTGTCTCTGCTAACAATACAAAATTAGCTGGGCATGATAGCGCATGCCTGTAATCCCAGCTACTTGGGAGGGAAGCTGAGGCAGGAGGATTGCTTGACCTGGGAGGTGGAGGTTTCGGTGAGCTGAGATTGTGCCATTGCACTCCAGCCTGGGCAACAAGAGTGAAACTCCTTTGGGAAGGAAGGAAGGAGAGAGGGAGGGAGGGCCAGCCGGCAGGCAGGCAGGCAGGCAGGCCCCCCACACACACACACCATTCAGAAAGAATCATCTCCTTGGGAGTGAACAGTCTTATCACCTCTGCACCTGTGCTGCTGCCATCCCATCATAAGCCTGCCTTTGCTGACCCCAACTTTCCTCCTGTCTTACAGCTACAGTTGTCTTCCTGCGAGTCTGTTTCCCTTTCCCTGGCAGTGAAATGCTAGAGTTCCTCAACACTAAGTCCCAGGCTCCTTCTTCCCCTCATTAAGTCTGAGACCTCTCTCCAGGGCCGTCTACCTCAGCTGTTGTTTTAATTACCGTATATTCCCCAGCATTTCCAAAATTTGCTTTGAGTTCCAATAACGCAAACCCAACAAGTTACTTGATATCTCCACCTGAACGCATAGGTCAACCAAAGACAGCTTGATTTAATTCATTCAAAACCAAAGTTAGGCCAGGCATGGTGGCTCCTGTCTGCAATCCTAGCAATCTGGGAGGTGAAGGAGGAGCCCAGGACTTTGAAGCAGCCTAGGCA